GTTTCCATTATCCGACCATCCGTAGATTTCGATTCGTTCCCAGGTGCCGACGACTAAAAACTTCGGCGAGGCTGTCGACCACGATTTCGAATCCTTTTTTCTCCCTTCGATTTTCCTACTCTGTCTTTTAGCCGGTAGTGCGTGACGCCTACTCTGCCGCTCAAACAAATGTTGAGGGAACTGTGAAAATTACTCGCAAATACGACAAAGACCACAGAAATCGATCAATTTTACATCGAAAAAATTGCTACGAATGTCAGTGCCCGTGATCCAATCGAAAAGGAAATATTACGTTCAACTGCACGAGATATAGGTACAGGCACTCGAATTTTGAGCGGCGGTGTGGACATTTTTTTAGGTTATAAGAATGCGTTAGGAGAGCCGCGGCCGATGCGAGCCCTTCGCCAACGAGAGAACCAAAGAAACCTGAAAACCATATAAACAAATGATGCAAACAGATTTGAATGTTTCCTTAGTGAGTACGATATAGTAGAGGAGGTACGTGGTGTGTGTGAGGAGCCGCCGACACGATCGAAGCGAGTATCGATTCGGGAAAAAAGAGGTTAGGAACCGGGAACTAAATTCGTAGAAAAAGAGAGAGAGTGAGAGCGACGAGATGCCCCTTGTTAGAGGAAGAGTCGCGTCCCGTTACACTTAATAATTGTCCGGGTAATGCTACTTGTATACATTGTACTCAACCTTTCGTATTCGTTTTTATTCCAGCGTCTTTCTAACGATTACGTGTGTGTTTATCTATAGCGGTCTTTTTATACTGTTGTAAAGTGGCGTTTACACCGATCCGTAGAATATTATTGCGTAGACGAGGAACTTCTATATACATACCTTTAAATCGTAATTAACGTCGGATTGTATAGCGGCGGTTGAGACGCAACCGTCGACGCATCTCGTTAAGTGTTTCACACGACGGGCACGTTTAGAGAGACCAAAATTTTCTACACGCTATGAGACTGACGAGAAACATACGCGACCATGAACTGACAGCCGAAATTGACATCGTGAGAGGGGGAGAGAAACGAATTAACGCGAAATTCCTGGACGAAACGATCTTTTCTTATATTTTTTCAATACTTCGCCTGACTCGATATTCCTTTCCTCGTGATACTGTCGCGAGTATAGTTGGAAGTAAAGAGTATCTAGCCGGCCAATGGTTAGCATTGCAAGGCGCTACGTCTTATGCGTCATTACCATGTGACTACTCTGTTACCGCTCTATCTTACTTGATCTCGTGTGTTCCGTTCGGACTCTTCGTTATCAGCGAATTTGATTCGTTTGCAACTTATGAGCTCCCAACCATAGCTTTATACACTTAGGAGCAAACTCGGCTTCCACTAGGGGGAAAAGCGGTGTAGGAATAACGGCCCCTATCGTTTTATAAATTTATTTCAAGTACCGAAATAAATGTTAAACCGAATGTTAATTTCACATAAATTTTAATAACTTCGAGACCAAGTGATAGCAGGTATTTCCCATACATCACTTTTTCCCCTAGTGGAAACCGAGTTTGCTCGCGAGGGCACGATCTTTGCGTGGAAAGGATTAACGTGTATACCGAAAGACGTACGGGCGTTTGGTTGGACGCGTCGGCGACGCGTTTCCAGGAGTGCACGGCATCGTACTATAATTCTAATCTTTGACTCTTCCGGCCATTGCAACATCCAAAGGAAACAAGATCTCCTTTTTAGTTGTACTCTCGTGGTTCCGTACGGTTAAACGATTATATACTCGATCGTTCACGTGACCGAAGGCCAACACGGAAGCAAAGTTCAAAACGCTTGACCTAACCTAACCCACTAGTGTACCCTCGCGAGTAAACTCGGCTTCCACTAAGGGAAATCGTGTCATAAGAAAAAAGGGTTTTCTACCACTTGACAAAATTTATTTCAAGTACTGAAATAAATGTTAAACCTAATATTAATTTGGCATAAACTTCAGTAATTCCCAATACAAAGTGGTAAAAGACCCTTCCCCTACGCCACTTTTTCTCCTAGTGGAAGTCGAGTTTGCTCGTGGATGTACACCAGGGATGGGTAGAAATTATGATACATGACTTTGATTGGTTGATTCTTATAAAGATGAAGATATGATTCGGTGACTTTATAAGAATCAACCAATCAAAATTATGTATGATAATTTCTACCCATCTCTTGGTGCATACGCTTCAGCGCTCAGTGTCGCAAACAGTTTTTTCATTACAGATATTACTATATTCTCGATTGCTTGTATCGTGTTCGAAGAAACACAATGGGCACAGTTCCATTTTTCAACCAAATAATAATAATTTCATGTATACATTTTGCGACACCGAGTGTCTCGGCGCACCTGTCAGCGGGTTAAAAAAAGCGACACGTAGAGAAATATACAAATAAGTAAAGGGGACCGAACGATTCAGAGCAACCCATGCGCGTGTCGCAACTCATCCGTAATTAGCTCGTTTATGAATTTACGTTTCACGAATTCCCGTCGAACCTCTCGCGAATATTGCTCGACGCACAGCATCGACCTCGTGGGCACAGCTTAAGGCTCTCACACACGCTACTCGCACCGCTTATTTTTGTTAAGACGTTCCTCTACTTCCGTAATTGAACGATGTTCGCGCAAATGTGACCAGCTTTTATCTTTTTTTTTTATTTAACACTAGGTTTACGGGCACTTATCGTGTAGGTATCTCCACGGCACGCATCAACGAACCCGCAGACTTTCTTTAAAAAGCAACTTATTTTATATAATACACAATTTATGGTCTCTGAAATTAATGCATAGCTATAGAGATAGGTATACCACATAGAGAATTTCGAGGTTAGAAAGCATTCGAAATGCGTCAAAATGACGCGTCCCGTAAACCTAGTGTTAAAGACACACTGTCGTTTCGACGAATATCGTCTACGTTCCGTGAGCGTGGAGAGGCTTGTTCTTCGTCCGTTTCCTTCCGTTCCTTCGTTCAGAGGTTAATTCGTTCTCGTACCGAAACACTGGAATCTCGACTAACATGATCGGAACGGGACATCTGACGAACCAGGTTGCGATGTGAATGAACCACTCGATGACAGCTGTACGGATAGCACGGTGAAATTAATATGATAGAAAAGTAAATGGGTATATAATGAAACTCGTCGTGAAGCTTTACCCAGCTTTACCCTTGACCCGTATTGTCACAAGAATCATTTATGGATTCCGAAACAGTGTTATCCGTACCGATCTTCGTTGGTACATTCGATTGCCACCAGGTTTTTCGAACGAATGCTACTTATCATATTTAGAGAGACGGTCGAATCCTCAATGATTCACCGTCAGAGACTCGTTTGTAAATATTTTTAATATGTATTTCGGAGGGAACACGCTTCTCCTACTGGGGTAGGGCGGGTGCACGCGTATCTCGTCGAAGAAAGGGAAAAAAAACGAGTGGTTATGTCGCCCGAGCAGATTCACGACTCGTTAGTCCGTTAGGAATTTTACCAATGGTGTAAGATCCCGATGCACAACCAACAGACACGCACACACACACACGATGTATACTGCCGATTTTTCTGTTTCGATTTCCGCTTCCCTTTGCTTCTCCGTTCGAGTCTGACAGACTTTTACTTGTTTAACCCGTTCCCATGCGTGTTAAATACACAACACTTGTCACGTTTTTTCCTGGCGAACCTTTTTCTTTTCAAACGATAAAAAAACCAAGCGGATTTCGAATGCTTCGCTGCACAAGCAATCGTATACAACTCCGAGCGCGCAATTTCGATTGTTGGTAAATTTGTTCTGTCTTACGCTCGACCAAAACCGTTTCTGTTCCGCCTGTTTCGAGCACAGCCTGCAACTTTAACGGGAGAAGAAATGTTTACCGAACGAACGATTCACGATGCAGAAATGACACCCGGTATATGTTTACGTTTCTTTCGATGGAATTGAGGAAAAACACACACACGACCACGCGAGTTAGGGATTCCGAGAATTGACTCGTAGCCAAGTAGACTTAAGCTTTTACGATTACTATATTTTTCGTCGTTCTTGTTTTGCATCCTCTGTTTTTTTAAAGGTCGGATCGATTCGAACGATTTCTAAACCAATTTAAATGCCGAACCCCGATCGATCGACCAATCACAAGCGCGAAAGTTCTACCTTACCGGCGTTGAATCTTACCGCTCTCGATGCTTCGTTTCGTTTAAATCGAACACTGGTCGACCGGTTTACTTTCTTCGTTCGACGGTACCAATTTTCGGTCCTTTCTGAAAAACGAGGAACGCGCGCGCGCGAACACCACACGACTTTGGATAAAGCGAAAATTGTTTAGCGCAAGAGGATACACATTCGAACGTTATTATACATGTACGTGCATGCGGTTCCCGAGATTGTGCGAACGTGACTGGCGATGAAAAGAAAAAAAAGGAAGAAGGAACTGCATGGACACGGTATTCGCTGAATAGAAATGAAAACAAAGAAAAAAAACTAACAGAAAAAATTGTTGTTGTTAATGTTGTCAAAAAATGTGTCAAATTAAAATATAAGGATTTCAAACATCTGACCGGGATGGCTTTTAAGGCTCGTTCAGGCACGTCCAGTAATTTAGCCGAGTGGAACAGTCGAAACATACGTCCAGACTAGATTTATTTGGTTAGTATTGAGTAATGAGGGAAGCCTATACTCGACCAGAAAAATTAAAAGAAATGAATCTACTCTATTAAATCGTTTTACTAAACTACTCAACTACATTTTAGTGTCCACATGCGATAAGTTGCTAAATTAACTCGCCACTAGACTGAATTACACTGGACGTGTCTGAACGAGCTTTTTCGGACGAATTGTCTTTGTGCTTAAGTGGGAGCGGGGGGTCGAAATCATCCTGTCTTCGAAATATCATTCGTCTTTATTTATAAAGTATTATGCTTACGTTTCTCGTTCTCGACCGCGTTTTCGCTCCGATACCGTATTTTACATTACTTACAAGGAACCGCGAGATCGCCCAAGCAGAAAAAAAGGAACAATAGGCGAACGGAAAAAAGAAAACGTAATTTATTTTCCATGAACATCGAAAAATGTTGATCGCCGTTACGGGAAAAATGTCGTTTTCTTTACCTTTTAAAGCGGTGAACATTTTTTGCCGTGAATTGTACAGTGGTGTGTGACTATAGGTGCCGCGATTGTTTTGACGCGTGTGGTAAGTAGCAGAATGTTTTCCTAAGTAACTGTAACAAACTGTGCGTATACGGGACTAAAAAGCAAGGCACAGGTTATATACACAACAACTGGCGTGTTCCGGTGAAAGCTGAAATTCGTCCGTTTTCTCGAGAAACACAATTGAACAAGTTCCTACCAGAAATAATACGCGCGCGATGACCACCTCAAGCCGAGATTAGAATAAGTTAGAAAAAAATTTTCAGTTTAAACATAGGCTAGCATTATTTCATCACTTGAGCTGCCTTTTTCGCTTTGATCAGCTCCACCAGCTCCTGCAACACAGAATAAAATCGTATTCGTCAAATGTCGGGAAACAAAGATCAAATATAAAATGTTCTACTCGATATTCTTCGTTTGCACGCAACTCCAACTCACCTTGTACCTCTTCATGCATTCTTTTTTCGTTCTAGTCGGTATACACGCCGCGATTTGATCCCACCTGTCGGGGACGGTGGTGGGATACGTTTTCAGAGCTTGCTCCAACAATTTCTGCTCCGCCGGTGTCCACGGTTGCGGTTCCTTCTTCGGGTCTTTCGGTTCCGCGGTGATCCCGTTCGCCATAGGATGATCCAGACGCTCCGTGACGGCCGGCATTCGTTCCTCGACGGACTCTTTGGTCTTCTTCTCCGCGATGAAATTATCGAAGGCTTTCTTATTCGCCTGTTCTTTCAGACTGGACTTGCTGAAATCGGTGGACTGTAAGTCTTTGGCTTTTGCGAGAACTTCTTTCGCGTCGCGGGTCACGCCCGCTGTAGAGCTGCTGTGCTGATTGATAAAATTCGCGACTACTTCCCAGCGTTGGTTCGTTCCAGCCGGGAACAGATTTACCGCTTTTATCAACAGTTGAAGATCGTCCTCGTTCCACGGAGCTGCCTGTGATTTCACTTGTTTCTTCGGTGTGTTCCGCGTGTCATTAGGACTGACGCCCACCCTACGCTCCGCCTCGATTTTCTTTTCAGTTTCATCTACGATGCTGATGAACGCCGATCTGCCGTCTGCCTGCAATTTCTTCATGGCCTCTTCTAGCTGCACAAGCTTGAACAACTCGCAAATTTTCTCTACGCTTTCCATATGTCTGATACTCTCTGCCGAGTTCTCCGCGAAATAATTGTTCGATTTACAGAGATCCCTGAGCGCTTTCCTCTCCTTGCGTAACGCTTTTTTCTGCGCCTCCCTTTCTTGCTTCAACGCGTCCATTTTCGCTTTTTCCTCGCTGTCTCGCTTCTGCTTTTCCAGCCGTTCCTTCTCAGCGGCATCCCTCGCTATCCTCTCTTCTTCCTTCTGTCTAGCTTTCGC